ATGTACATGCGTACATGCATACATGCATACATTCGTTGGCAGAGAGAGAGAGAGAGAGTGAGACAGAGATGTAAAGGGATAAGATTTTATCGGGAGTTCGAAGCCTGCTGGCTCGGGGAAGCGACGGCCACCTTTCAGAAGACCCCCGTCGCTGTTCTTGTCGAGGATGCTCCTGCAAGGGTGCACCATGACGGGTTGAGGAGCCAACTCAATGACTGTCTGACGAATCTGTGGGACCTTTTGAAAGGAAGGAGAGTGATCGAAACCACCGTTAAGCACTAGGTAGCAGGTCGAGCCCGAAGCCGTCAGTGCGATTCAAGAGATCGTTATCCTCTTGGCTCAAGGCTCTGGTGTCTTGGCTGTCTTGGCCAAAGGTCTCAGGGCCTCATCTCATCCCTGAGCCACAAACTCACTGGGAAGTGCATGTGCTCATGTTCATAGCTCTGTAGTGGTAGTGGTCGCAGTTGTCGTGGTGGTGGCAGTGTCAGTGGCAGTGGCAGCAAGCATAGCAGTAGCACAGCAGCAGGAGGAGCAGTAGTCGCAGTAGTAGCAATAGCAGTGGCTGTAGTATCTGGTAGCAGTACCAGTACCAGTAGCAGTAGCATACAGCATTAGCAGCGGCATGCAGTAGAAGCACTGCCAGTAGCAGCGTAGATGTAGCGCAGTAGCAGTGGTAGCAGCAGCAGCAGCAGCAGCAGCAGCAGTTGTTGTTGTTGTTGTTGCCGTGGTGGTAGTGTCGTTTCGTCGTCGTCGTCGATGGCGGCAGGAGCATCTGGTAAGTCGCGCAGCAGCCCTGGTTGTTTATAAGTCACTGACGACTCACTAGGTCGAGAAGATTGGAAGTCCGGCTCAGGCCTTCCTTTTTGTCAGCGGCTGCAGCCTCGCTGCACGATGTCTCGTTCATGTCTGGTCTCCCTGCCTGCAATTTCTTACACCAGTGGATGTTTAGATGCCCTCACTGTACCTCTTAAGTCTTGCTAGTTGTTCGAGATTGTCAAAACCGACAGGCAGATACATCCTTTGCGTCTTCGACCAGCCATCGGCCGGCTTCATAACTACCCTGGACAGGTTCTCGAGGATCCAAGCGTAACGTGACACAGTGGTGCCAGGACACCTGCCTTTTGGCAGCAGCCAGCTCAGACCACTGCTTGCACGCTGTAATTAACTACCCGGCACTACCCTCTCCGCTTTCTGCCTGCCTTCTTGTGGCTTGATGGATTCTTAAGGCCACTGGCAGGAAAGCGGAGCTACAAGCATGCGATCTCAGGCAGGCACCGACTTCGAAATCTAGGCGATCTCTATGTGGGGCACACATGTCCTGCTACATGTTCCGACCCCTTAGCTCTGCTGGGATTTCCATGGTACTCCTTCATTGTTG